GTACACGTCAGGGTTGGTGGGCGTGGGCGGGTTGTCTTGGTGGGCGGCGGGGACGTAGAAGCTCATGGTGAAGTTGTTCTCACAGTTGGGTCCTTCTCCGGGGATGACCAGCGTCGTCACGGGAGCTGTCATGTCAATCTTCATGGCTGTGCAGGAGCGGAGAGAACGCTTTTGAAATTTCTAGATATCAATCTCACCCTCAACCATTCTTTCTTCTCTTGCTCCTTGCTAGTTTGTATAGCTATTTCGGAATCACTTCTATTTATGTAGGTATCTCTGTGTGTTTTTTTTCACATAGGAAATACGAGTACGTTTTTTCGTATATATATATATATATATATATATATATATATATATATATATATATATATATATATATATATATATATATATATATATATATATATATATATATATATATATATATATATAGATATGTTATAGAAATCATTAAAATCATATAATCCAAAGAGTCGCACTTGCAACATTATATTACCTGCATCATTCTGTCCGTCGATGTTTGAACAGTTGCGGAACATGACGTCACTGGTGGCTTCGTGGTGAGAGAGATGAGAGGTGGGATGTGGTGACCCACTTCTGCGCCGGGTACACGCGCTCCTCGTACGTCTGCAAACAGACACTTATCCCTCATTACTTGTTACACCAGTTGTTTTAAGGAGAACGTAATAACAACAACAACAACAATAATAATAAGTAAAAAAGCAGGCAATTCTAATAATTGTATTCGAGGAAACGACTTACCTCAGCGGAGTTAACTAGGTCATAAGGAGCGGATTCGATGGCCAGGGCGAGCTGGCACACCTGAGGACCAAGAGAACAGATGAAGTTCAAAGGCATCACAGAATTCACTACTACATAAAGTCCGATTAGAACATGCCTACGTAAAGCTCACGTAGCTGAACTGTTCTTCATTAATTATTGAATTAACAATGAGTCCGAGTTGAATTTGAACGCAATTGTCCTTATTTATTCAGGAAACGCGTGAGCAACGCCAACGTGAACTCACCTGAGCCAAGAGCGCGAGAGCTGCGAAGGTCCTCATGGTTGGCGAGTGAATGAGCAGGAAGTGGCGGTCGTGTCTCTGGTCTGCTTCTTATAGGCCAGACTCTGATGTAACGGCGATAAGGGAACCAGGCGAGAAGCTTGCAGGTTTCCCACGCTGTTTTATAAGCAGTAAACATTTTATTCATGTGAATGAAGACATAAAAGATACTTTCCTATGTATATAACATACACAAGCTGCATACTTTCGTACATACATACGCGTATATATATATATATATATATATATATATATATATATATATATATATATATATATATATATATAATATATAATATATATATTATTACATATACACATATATGTATATATATTTGCTTATATAAATAATATTATATATATAGATTTATTTATAATATATATATATATATATATATATAATATACTATATATATAATGGTACCAGCACATGGTATAACACACACACACACACACACACACAAACACACACACACACAACACAACACACATATACATACACACACACCAACACACCACATATATATATATATATATATATATATATATATATATATATATATATATATATATATAATACACGAAGTTGATATATATCTATATATGAAATATATATGTAGTATAATAATAAATGCAAACTGCCATATATATATATATATATATATAATATATACATTATAGTGTGTATGTATATATAATATATATAATATATATAATATATATAATATATAATATTATAATATATATATATATATACATATGTAATGTACATGTATATGTACGCACACACACACACACACACACACACACACACACACACACACACACACACACACACACGCACACATATATATATATGTGTGTGTGTGTGTGTGTGTGTCTGTGGTGTGTTGTGTGGTGTATGTGTGGTGATACATATACATACAATGTAGACACACATATAATATGTATATATATACATTCCATTATATGTTATATGATATGTATGCATATAAAAATATACATAAATGCACACGCATCAACACACCACACACACACACACACACACACACACACACACACAACACACACACATTATATATATATATATATATATATTCGTATATATATATATTAAGTATATATATTAATTATATTATATATACACACACACCACATAAATCTATATATATGTTTATAAATATATGTATATATTATATAGGTTGTTATGGCTGGTATGTCACCAGGACTATGGCGGTGAGAATGACCGGAAGGCAAACCTCCCAAGACATACGGGTAGGCCTCAAGACGGTGGGGAGGGGGGGTAGGCTGCAATGCTGCTGCAGGAACTGCCTCGTTACAGTAGCCGACAATTGTAGCTTTTTACTAATCTTAATTTATTTCCCCGTTATGTCACTCCTCCACCGCCATAGGCCTGGCAAGACGTCTGTCATTGTTCTGCCATTTTTTTGTTTCGGGTTGTATTCTGTGTTAGGGTTTAGGCGATGCATTAAGTTTATTAATGTATTGCGTAGGCAGGGTTCTTGTTATTGTGTCTGATTTCGTGTGCTTTCGTCGCTGTTTTGTTCTGTGATTTAAATTGTAAAATATCGATTTACGTATTTTTCCATTTCAACATAAATAATTTTACAATTACTGAATAATCATTAATAATGGAATATAATTAACAGAGGCCTCTATCCAGGGACTTTCGCTCCAGATCCACCACTAGGGTTTCAAGGACTCAAGATAGAATAGCCAAAGTCAAGACAGTAACCCTGATATTGCCTAGAGTTGCTCCATAATGAATTTGGACAGTAACTCTGCCCAGTATCCAGTCCATTAGGTGAAAAATATTGGTGCAAGGACACCGCCTTGCCTCACTCCTTACTAACAGGAAAGAAGCTCGACAGGCCCTTACCACACTTTACCACACACACCACACTTTCAGTACCTGTATGCAGTCTTCCCATTATTTCAATGATCCGAGTTGGATGGCCTCTCAATCTCAGGATCTCCCAGAGTGATTCCCAATACACTGTATCAAATGCCTTCTTAAGATCATTGTAAGCTGCAACTAGCCCACGCCTGAGCTCACAACGGCACTCCAAAATGTCTTCACGCACCAGGCTTTGATCTATTTTGGACTTACCAGAGTGAATCCTTGTTGCTCCGGCCTCTGGTGTCTCAGCAGGTGGTCTCTGATATGTCTCAGAAGGATGTGAGCAAGAGCCTTGCCCGGTATACTGAGCAGTGTGATGCCTCGATGATTGCTGCAATCCCATCGATCCCCTTTCCTCTTCCAATGAGGAATGACCACACCCTCAACAGGTCAAGGAAATGGTACCAGACTTCCAGACGGCAGTCAGGACAGCATGCAAACCCTGAGCCATAGGTTCACCACCAACCTTTAACAGTTCAGCTGGTATGCTGCGGTTATCTGTTTTGCTACTTTGCTGCCCCCCCCCCTGAGTTCGGTTAGGGAGGGTAGATCCTCACTGATGGGTTGATCTGTCAGTGGAATCTCGACACTACCCACATCTACCCATTAACTTTTGGTGGATCAACCTAGTACAACTGCTCAAACTACTCAGCCCTATGCTCCCAACAGGATCTGAGACGATCTGGCCACCTACCAACCAGACTGCAGTCACCTATGAAGAAGGCTTGAAGTTCAGATTTCTCAGAGCTTCGTAGGCAAAACGAAGGTCCAGATAAAACACCCTAAGGGGATCATCAGACCGACAGGGAATTTTGAAGTGGACTCGGTGGGGAGCCACAAGTAATCTGTAGTCAGTACTCAGCACTCCTATACAGCCTGCAGTTCTGGAAGATCTCTCAACGAGTCTTAACGTTGGTGTGGTCGATCTCCTTGGCTGCATTATTCCCGAACCATGGGGACTGACAGAAATCTCATAGCCAGCTCAATTGCAGCCACATACCGCATTGAAGTCACCGACACAGAAGCAAGTTTGCCTAATACAACTCATTCACATTGAGTTTACAATCATTGTTAGAGCATAAACAGCAATATAGGAGACGAAGCCAAATGGAAAACTTCAGTCTCAATAGTATTATAAGGTCATCGACTGGATTAACCTCTACTTGCGAGAGCTGAAGTCTGCTAGAGATGGCTATAGCTACTCCCTGGAGATAGTGACCATTGCTGCAGCTCGACCAGTAATAGGTGTAGTCACCCACACCAATCGTGCCACTGCCAGGTCTTCTCACCTCCAAGAATGCAGCCACCTCAACTCTCAGCTATCTCATTTCAATCACTGATGATGCCCCACAAAGTGAGAGGTGGCTGGACGCCAGGTTGGCGGCTACCGGGTTGCGGATGGTCAGGTAATCCTGGCTCCCATTCGAGTCCTGGTAGCAACTAACCCAGAGGAACCCAGAGCCTGGCTTGCTGGGTGGGAGGGATGTCCCCCCCCCCCCCCCAGCATCAACACCTATGCTAGACACTGCCTGTTACGGTAGTTGTAGTGATCTACTACGCTATGCATCCACAGATCACTCCAGGAGGTAATGCAATCACATTGAAATATCCTTTCTCACCTCCAACATCTTCCACAGGCAAGCGAAATAAAAAACGATGAACTCAAGGTGGCAACACTTGTACCTGGTGCGACCCGCGATGTGGCGTTAAATGCCCTGCAATTTCCAAGGTGGTTTGTGGGGTTGCTTGTAACATCACCCCTTTGCCCAATGGTATGAACTCTATGCGTGGCTCCTTCTCGAGAGTAGAAACCAACCACAGGCCTACAGAAAGGGTGTTTATCTCGCGGAAGGAGGATGCCACGCACTCGCCACTCTTGCCATTCTGTGCCCAATATTTATTTATTTATTTATTTATTTTTATATAAAATAAATTATTTTCTTGTTTTTATTGTATTATAATATGTACACCCCCGAAGATGATACTTCATTTTTTTTACATTTTAAGATTTATATATATATATATATATATATATATATATATATATATATATATATATTATATATATATACACCTCTTTTAAAGACAGAGTCAATTGATTTTTACATACGTATTAAATTTAATTATTTTAATTATTTTACCTTTTTCGTAACTTTTATTGTGTTTTATAGAAAGTATTGAAGTAAGTCAAACAATGATTCTTTTATATAATTATTTTATTTTATATTATCATTTTAATTTATTTTACTATTATAATTTAGATTTATATTTTCACACTAGTTTTAAGATTTGTTTTATCAATTTTAGAAAAGAACCAACTTCTTGTACTATTCCCCCCAAATTAACAAGGGAACTGCAGACACAAAGTCAAGGGATTTTGCCGGTGGTCTGCTATTAGGAAGACGGTCTGTGGAACCCCGGAATGGGCTTCCACCTGTCTGAAGAGAGCTAAGTGGTCGTGGGGATACTTTAACATAAGGTGGTAAGAGAAATTGGCCAGACTATTTATCCGATTAAGTGATCTCGTGACAAGTGCATTTTTTTTTTTTTTATTATCTTCGGGCTTTTTATTGTCATGTGTTTACTGTGTTTGTGTTTTATGTTCATATTTTAATGTATTAAGTGCTTTCTGTTTTATCGTTTGTTTTATTGTTTTAGTTTGGTTTGCGGATTTATTTTGTTTTAAGTTCATTTTGCTTTATCGTTCTTTATTGTATTCTTGTTTTACCTCATTTTATGATTTGTTTTAATATTTCGTTTCGTTTTATTTGTGTGTTTTGTTTTACTACTTCGTTTTATTGTGTTTTATCAGTTTGATACCGAAATAAATAAATATTTAAGTATATTTCGTTTTATCAAAACGAACTTGATCGTTGAAAAGGATACTAGGAAGGGTAGTAACAGCTCATTTCCTTCTAGTGATATGCCTTATTTCTTTGTGTTCATTATATCAATGTGGTGATCTGCTTGATTGCGTTGGAGGACTCTCCCCGCACACGCCTCTCCTCGGCTCATATCACGCATACCAACCTTTATGATCTCGCACCATACATATACACCACACACACATACTACATTTACACTCTTTCGCTCCTTTCCCCACATCCGTCTTCCACACTATCATTCTTCTCACATATAAACTACGTTCCCATACGTCGTGAACTAAATGGGTGGTGGCAGTGGCTCCTCTTTCACATTATGGCGAGACATAATTGTATAGGTATTTGCTACAACTACCTACACCATATGTATTATTTGGCGGCGAGCGGCGGGACGAATCCAAGCAGATAATCACCTTGATTGGTAACGAGACCATGCTTTACTTAACCAGGTAAACGAGTGAAACCACAGGTAAAACAAGCGCTTAAAACAAAGCTTGTGCATACGCTAATTAGTGCTAAAACAATCACTCAAGGTGAGAGCGTACTCGATGATATTCGTTTGCTAGCACATGCTACTGAGATTTCTTTTGTGTTTGTGCTTTTCTATGTTTCGTATCTTGGAAGTATTGTGCCGGCATTTACATTGATATTTCAACATGGGAAAAAGAAGTAAGAGAGCACTTGATGACGATGTTACCGCAGGGCCGTCAAATGCTAGTTCACCGAGGTCAGCTGAGGTTTCGCTGGAGGTTATGCCAATGCAGTCGAGGGAAAATTTAGACCTGCCAATGTATGAATAATTAAGCGAGCGCTGCCAACAACTTAGTGATCAACTTGCAGCAATGCAGGAGCAATACGCCACACTAGCGCAGAGCTTGGCGCTCAGAGTATTAACAATAATCATAGTAATAGTGCCGTTTCTACTCCATCTCCGGTGGAGTTTGTCCTTTATAAAGATGTCGTTCCACCCTTCAAGGCCGAAACTCCTGATTCACAACCATTAAAGCGCCATCAGGAAGTCGAATCCTGGCTCAGGCACATTGAAAACGCGACGCAACCACGAACGGGCGATGCGCACATCAGAGCTGCGAGTTCATGTCGCGGGACTGCGGATCTTGTAGTTAACTCGCCTATCTTTGACGGAATCACTTCATGGGTGGATTTTAAGGAGAAACTTAGAGTAAAGTTCAGGGGCACGTGTTCATCTACCGACTTCTTCAACCACCTGAGTAACTATAGATTGGCTCCAGGGCAAGCACCAATAGATTTTTTTGTACTATAGAATCCATCGTGTATCAAGGTGTAAGGGATTACCCGCGATCTGTTGGGATGCCAGACGAATTAATCCGCCGTGTATTCCTGCAGGGACCCAGTGGTTAAGTATTGATAGATGCGCGCAAAGATGTTGGAGCGCCGTATGAGTCTATGGGAAGTCAGGGGAAACCAAACGATCGACCTCACGCTCGGAAATCTCCTATGTATTGTTCCTTCCATAAATCACACACCCACAATACGAAAGATTGTAAGGGGAGGCAGGCTACGCCCGGAAGTAATGACTCATTAAAGTGTTACACCTGTAATGAGGCAGGTCACCTCTCACGAAACTGCCCCTTTTCCTCAACGAAACTTGCCCG